GACATTCTATGCTTGCCCTGATCGAACTTCGAAAGGGGCCACTTCTAAAAATCTTGTAAAACTAACTTGTTAACTTCAACTATCATTTCGTAAGACTGCTGATTTTACCTTCAGGATGGAGATCACTGCACCATTGATATGGATGGTAATGACGGCGATGACGGTTTGTTTTTTTATTTGAGGTTCTAGGAAAGCTCTAGGAAATCATCTCTCCAGATGAAGAATGCGAAGAAGAGGAATCACCATTCGGAGGCCCAAGACCTATGGTCCCATACACGTCCATGTTCTTTTTGTCTCCATCAAATCCGTGCGTACTTTTGCGCAGCCTTCAAAACATGACTGCCTATTTGCTTATATTCTAGACTTAGAGTACTGGTACACAGCATAGTGTGTACAAAGTACTTTGAAATGATGGTCATGGGAGTCATTTGTCTATCGTCCATATCTTTGGCAGCCGAAGATCCAGTCGATGAGGATAATGCCAGAAACAAGGTTCTGCAGTACATGGACTATTGTTTCACCGGAGTATTCGCGTGCGAGATGCTCTTAAAGGTCCGCTGCATTCTTACTAAAAGTATTCCGTAATTAAAACGCACTACTGTTATCCCTCATGACACAACAAGGATATTCTAGTTAATCGATCAAGGCATCATTCTCCACCCAGGATCCTACTGTCGTGATTTCTGGAACATACTCGACGGCGTAGTTGTGACCTGTGCACTGGTTGCATTTGGATTTGCGTAAGTTACATCGGTAGCATCGTCAGTTGATCCATATCGAAGGAGGTGACTCTGGAACTATAAAGAATCACGAGTTTCGTTACTGCAAGTACCGAACTTTTCTATGAAGGTTTATGCATCAATCGGTGCCGATTGCAAATAAATCAGGACCATCTCTCCGCGCATATATACGGCCGGTCCTAAAGATTTGATGCTGTTGTTGTTCGCAGTAAGATTTTTGGCAAAAGGAGCAGTTAGTCAAACTTTTCAGGAATGCGATGGACAAGTATGTATTTGAAGGTTTTCTTCACATCGAAACTGAACTCACAAAACTCCAGCATTCACGTCGTGTGACGTCTCTCTCAAAATCTAAAGTTTATTTGCCACGTAGCTGGAGAATGGGAGGCTTTTTGCACTTGTACTCTGTCCCATCCAAACACGCACCTTCAAATAGCACTTTTACTCTCCTGTAACCGAGATGACACTCGTTTCGGAAAGCACCAACAAACTCGTAAACTAAGCATTTTTATCCAGTAACTAACAATGAGATCACTGTTCTTCATCCTCACTGAAATACTGTACTCAGCACACTGCTTAGCGTTGTCTTTCGACTTGAATCGATTAGGTCAACAAATAAATACTTTCCAGAGGCACAGAGGGTTCTGCAGGAAAGAACTTGAACACTATTAAATCGTTGAGGGTTCTCAGAGTGCTGAGACCATTGAAGACCATCAAAAGAATTCCGAAACTAAAGGTGATTTTGGACAATTTATCTACTGCCATTCGTATTTCCAAGATTTTGCTAACAGGCTGTATTTGACTGTGTCGTCAACTCTCTGAAGAATGTCTTCAACATCCTGATTGTGTACTTTTTGTTCCAATTCATCTTCGGAGTCATTGCAGTGCAGGTATAGTTGATGTTTGACTTGCAAACCGCAGTCTCTTTGGGATTTTATTATCGTCTCCTTGACTAACATTCTTCATCAAAGTTGCTCTCGATTAGCACAGTGCTCACAGCTATAAAGAGAAGATCGTAAAACTTGTTTTTATGATTGTTTCGCTCTCTGTTATAGCGTTTCTAGGCTTTTTTTGAGCATGTCAGAAAATTGCAAAACTACAGAAATTTTTTTCACTTACTTTGACTCTCGCATTCTCTCGTTTTTTATGGGAAAGGTGCTTTAGTTATGGGCGTAATTTTTACTATCCAACAAAAATACTTCCACAATTTTTCGTAACCCTGCTTGAAAAATGTTGTTCTAATTTCGCATTCCTTCTATCTCTTAAATTTTCTCA